GTAGTCCGTCACGCGCTAGACTCTCGTTATAGCGAGTAGTCCGTCACATGCTAGACTCTCGTTATAGCGAGTAGTCCATCACATGCTAGACTCTCGTTATAGCGAGTAGCCCGTCACACGCTAGACTCTCGTTATAGCGAGTAGTCCATCACATGCTAGACTCTCGTTATAGCGAGTAGTCCATCACATGCTAGACTCTCGTTATAGCGAGTAGTCCATCACATGCTAGACTCTCGTTATAGCGAGTAGTCCATCACATGCTAGACTCTCGTTATAGCGAGTAGTCCATCACATGCTAGACTCTCGTTATAGCGAGTAGTCCGTCACGCACTAGACTCTCGTTATAGCGAGTAGTTCATCACATGCTAGACTCTCGTTATAGCGAGTAGTCCGTCACATGCTAGACTCTCGTTATAGCGAGTAGTACCATCACATGCTAGGACTCTCGTTATAGCGAGAGTCCTCAATAAACATGCTAGGGACTCTCGTTATAGCGAGTAGTCCGTCACGCACTAGACTCTCGTTATAGCGAGTAGTTCATCACATGCTAGACTCTCGTTATAGCGAGTAGTCCGTCACATGCTAGACTCTCGTTATAGCGAGTAGTCCGTCACGCGCTAGACTCTCGTTATAGCGAGTAGTTCATCACATGCTAGACTCTCGTTATAGCGAGTAGTCCGTCACATGCTAGACTCTCGTTATAGCGAGTAGTCCATCACATGCTAGACTCTGGTTATAGCGAGTAGTCCGTCACATGCTAGACTCTGGTTATAGCGAGTAGTCCATCACATGCTAGACTCTGGTTATAGCGAGTAGTCCATCACATGCTAGACTCTCGTTATAGCGAGTAGTCCGTCACATGCTAGACGCTCGTTATAGCGAGTAGCCCGTCACATGCTAGACTCTCGTTATAGCGAGTAGTCCGTCACATGCTAGACTCTCGTTATAGCGAGTAGCCCGTCACATGCTAGACTCTCGTTATAGCGAGTAGCCCGTCACATGCTAGACTCTCGTTATAGCGAGTAGTCCGTCACGCGCTAGACTCGAGTTATAGCGAGTAGTCGAATTGAAGGGTTAAGTGAGGGTCAGTTGTCCGGGGTTAAGGCTTGAACCTAACCGCGAGCACCTGCAGGGTTGAGTTCGCCTTGCTGGTGTAAAAGGTCTTGGTGTTGCAGATCCCGTAGCTCGTGAAGCGCGCCGTATTCGGAGGGATGAAGTGCTGCCAGTAGGCGAAAATACCGGTCTCCAGCAACCCGGCGTCGTAGGTGCGAAGCTCGGGTGTGTAGTAGAAACGGAATCCGGAGCTGTCGGAAACACCTGTGCGTGCATGCGTGCGTGTGCGTGTTTGCGTGTGTGGAAATGTGCGGTAGTGCAACGGTTAGCGCACCGCGCTAGTAACCTGGCGACCCGAGTTCAATTCCCGCTCATGGCCACCAACACCAGTGACGATTATCTGAAACGGTCATGGGCCTCCCCTAGGCTGACTCAGCCTCAAATGAGTACCTGGTGTGGAGTGTAAACATCATTACCAATGGGGAGACAAAGGTGGCCGGGCATGGCGCTCGCCACACCACCTCCTTCGTGTGCAGTGCCGGCTTTAATATGTGCTCAATAACAGCACTTGCCCCATCAGTCTGTTAAAGGTTATATGGGGGATCTTTGTCTTGTTTCTTTATCTGAATTCATATACATATGTTTGCTTGTAAGTATAAGTGTAATATAACATGTGGGATTTAGAAGCCAATATTACGATTTGTAACCCGATATCTGGACTAGGTCACGTAAAGATTTGACCAAATCTGTGTCGTGAGAACCCTCCGCCACCTGACATGACATGGCCAGGAAGGCCGACTAGGGGGTTTCACAGAGGGCCTTGGTGGCACGGGAGAGGATAGGACGCGCCTGATAAAGCCCTTTGAGATCCTGAAGTATTAAGTACCCCCTGGTACATTGCCACATTATCCTGGTTGAGAACCACTAAGAAATTTGTATCCACTTAAATCTAATTCTTAGTTATCGCATGCCAACTATGTTCACTGCGTAATTGTAACTTTATACAGGGAGGAACAATGTTCCACACTGCCCACCAGGGATTATTTAGCTGTCTGTCTGTCTGACTGTCTGTTTGTCTGTCGTACATAATATATAATACACACAGCTCTTTGATTGGTGGAGACCTTACAAACAGCTCTTTGATTGGTGGAGACCTACTGCCGGGTACGGAGAGGGGAGGTGCCTAAGGGAGGAGGGTCAGGGGAGGGGCCTAAGGAAGGGGGGAGTCAGGTAAACAGCTCTTTGATTGGTGGAGACCTACTGCCGGGTACGGAGAGGGGAGGTGCCTAAGGGAGGAGGGTCAGGGGAGGGGCCTAAGGAAGGGGGCGTCAGGGGAGGGGATCTGAGGGGGGGGGGTCAGGGGAGGGGATCTGAGGGGGGGGTCAGCGGAGGGGCCTGAGGGAGGGGGGGTCAGGGGAGGGGCTTAAGGATATGGGGGGGGGTGCTCAGGGGAGGGGCCTAACAGAAGGGGGGTTAGGGGAGAGGCCTAAGGGAAGGGAGGTCAGGGGAGGGGCCTGAGGATATGGGGGGGGGGTGGTCAGGGGAGGGGCCTAAGGGAAAGGGGGTCAGGGGAGGGGCCTAAGGGGGGAGGGGCCTAAGGGAGGGGGGGGCGATAGTTCAGGGGGCTGTCTGCCTGGCTACCTAAAGTCTAGTTATCTTGTATACATACAGGTAGAAACAACAGGTTCCACACTGCCCACCAGGGATTATTTGTCTGTCTGTCGTGCACGAATGCGCTGTCCAACCAAGTTCCTACCTGCCCACTCCGAAGGAACGTGTTTCGCTATACTCAGTTGTATTCATCGGTAAATATAACTTTACTTGAAACCAACTTTTGTACTCAAATAAGTCACTCACCGGACACGAGGCCTGCGTTGTCGTAGTGCATCTGCAGCAGCAAGAATTGTGGGTCTTCGTCCAAGCCCAGCGAGAAACCAGCGTTTGCGGGATAGTCAAATGTCTGTAGCACATCACCATCATGATAATCATCATCATCATCAAATGTGTTGTCATGATCATCAGCAGCACCTTCATCATCACCATCACCATCCTTATTTCTGCATGTTTTAGTTTGTCTACATATTCGTTATCATAATTGTTATCACTGCCCTCATCAAAATTAACAGTCGCATCATCATCATCATCAGTAACAGAATCATAAAGAGATACCAGTATCGTCATTTGTCGTCATCACTAGAAGCAAGCAGTTGCATTATCATCATCAGCTTTAGAATCATCAGCAACAGCATGTTTAAAGGCATCATTAATCATCATCTTCATCACTAATTTCACAGATGGCCTCACCTCTCCACCCACAGCCCATGCTGCCATCACGGTCTTACACGTGGCGAAGGGATGAGTCGAGTTAAACTTGTAGCACTCGGCTTGGCTGCCCACGTAGGATACGTTCAACGTGTTCAAGCACACGTACACCAGAAGGTGGTGTACGTACCGCTCATTGCCGGCCTGTATCACCGGCTTAACCTGCAGATGAGCACATTGGACATGGTTATGCTTGCCTTTCTGGAGCAGCAAGTGGTCTGGCAAACAACCCCCACCTCCACGTGGTGCCGGATAGAAAAAAAACGTGGCGTGTTGTGGGCAATGCCACGGGCTGATTACCCTCGTGGCATGCTCACATCCACCATAATGGCTCTGGTCTGGTGAGGGGATCTGGTAACCCCTCTACTTTAAATACTTTTATCGTTAGAAGCAATTGTTCCGGCTGAACTGGTACCACCTGGATCTCTGTGTATTAAGGGAGGCCCAGTGGAACTGGTTTTGGTCCCCGTTAACACGAGCTACGCACAGTCCTCTACTCAGAGCGGAATAAAATCAAACGAGAGGGAGTAAGTAGCTCTTATGAATACAAACATGAAATCGGGCCTGAGAGTGGTGGCGGTGGGGTGTGGGAGGCCTTAAATCCAAAGCTTTTATGGGCTCGCCTCACTACCGACAGGGGATAATGAATGGTGGTGGTTCACCATGCTCCCACCGAACTTGGACATCCGTGCTAGTCGGAGGTGTGGGGGAAGGACAACAAACTCAACACAAAAAAAGAACTTCGAAAGTAACAAAAGTTTTCATCAAACACTGCGACAAGCAAAGGTCATGGCGTTGGCATTTCTCTTTTGCGGTGGTGGTTCTGACTTCCAGGGCCGGATCATGGTCCCGTGGGGCCCCTGGGCACATGTCTGTTGGAGGCTGCACGCCACCCCGCTTTCCTATATTGGTGTCTTTCTTGCCTTCCCCCTCGCAAGATCATCCACTAGATCGTCAAAATCTAGCTGTCTGACAAGGTCTGACTCTATTGACGTAAGTGACAATGAGCTGAGACGTGTTTGGCCCAATGCTACTCCGCAGCTCATTTTTTATTCTGCCTAAAAGGAAAAATGTCTGCTCACCCTGGCAGTTTGTCACTGGCAAAGTTCGAAAAATCCGAAGTGCCACGAAAACATTGGGGAACACTGGCCGCAGATTAAGTGCCTGCAACGTCTCAAGCAATTTAGTTGGGTACTTCTCACCCTCAGAGTCAGACATGAAAGACTTGAATTGGATGAGTTCGTTGCCAAAGTTCACGTCCAAGTCTGATGGATATGCTGCAGAGAGTGCATGTACCTTTTCCACTATGACATCACTATTAGACACCTGATCTGACATAAACAGAACTCCAAAGAAACTGGTCAAATGCTTATAAGCGTCCAAACGATGTTCAAGGCATGCCACGAGTTTATCAATGATCACATAAAATGTTTCTATTTTGAACTTCATCGTCCCCTCAAGTGTCACACCTGGCTCTGAGCTCTCATCTGCAAATGTTTTGTGTTTCCTCTTTCGCTGAAGATCATGCTTATATGACTGTCACATATAAGGCTGCCCTTTCAAAAACCTCAAACTGGTCTCACTGTTCCACCACAAAATCCCTCAACGAAGACAAAGTTGTGCTGCTACAGAGATGTCAATGTCACTTCTCTGCAGAGGTGGGACAAAGTCATTGTTATGCAAGTCCAAGTCGAGTCTGAAGTCATCAAATTCATGACTCGAGTCTGACTCGAGTCCAAGTCACATGACTCGAGTCCACACCTCAGAGGTGGGACAAAGTCATTGTTATGCAAGTCCAAGTCGAGTCTAAAGTCATCAAATTCATGACTCGAGTCTGACTCGAGTCCAAGTCACATGACTCGAGTCCACACCTCTGCTTTTCTGTAGGTGCATCCTTGTAGTGTGGAACCAGTCAAGTATGACATCCCAGAAATGTGCAATGAACACCATATCTAAAGTGTCCAATTTAGCACATAGTCCACCATCCTCAATTCGAGTATCTCTTTTCTCATTATCATCATTGCACATACCACCCAAGGCCTCTCTAATGTGGGTGTAGTTTCTCCACAGTGCCTTGGTTGACTCTGCCCAAGCACTCTACCGAGTACTGGACAGCGATTTTAATGTAAGTCTGACATGTCTTCCAAAAGACTTCCCCCCATCTGTGTGTGTATGAAGAACAAAATGTGTACAGTGACTGCAACATGTAAAAAAACTCGTCAGCCTCTGGGCCACTGCCGTCTAAGGTGTTAACACCAACTAAGTTAAGTGAATGCACTGCGCAAGGCACATACTCTATCAGAGGTTTTTTTTGTTTCAGGTGGGTCTGTAGGCCATTGTATTTTCCTGACATGTTGCTTGCATTGTCATATGACTGACCTCTACAGTTTGAGAGATCCAACCCAAGGCCCTCCACCATCAAAGTCACACAGTCTGCTAAACTTTTACCAGTGTGGCTCTCAATTTGCTCAGAGCCCAGGAATCGCTCCACCACATACCTGCTGCTGTTAACAAACCCGAATATGAACGTCAGTTGGTCCACATGTGACAGGTCTGGGGTGGAGTTAACAGTTATTGAAAAATATTTGGCATCCCGAATCTCATCTGCTATTGTTTGGCGAGTTTTCTTACCCATTAGCTCAATGAGTTCTTCACATATTGTTGATGACAGATAGGACACTGTGCTTCTTCCTTTTCCACCAAACCTTTTAATATGTTCAGCTAAGAATGGGTCAAACTGTGATAGCAATTCTAAGATGCCAAGGAAATTACCATTATGGGTTGACCCAAACCGTTCATCATTTCCCCTAAACGCAAATCCTCTTTCACCCAAGAACTCGATCACTGCTACAACTATTTTCAAAATATCCCTCCAGTATATCGCATATCTCAATACTTATTAAATAATAATTGAATGACTATATATTAATAATTACAACACCCTTCAAATACTTTTGTTGGAAAATACAATCAAGTGGTAGTATTTTATAGTCTACTTGTAGCTAAAGGCAGCTTTGAGTGGATAAAAAAAATAGAATAGCACATATAAGAAAATAATCCTAACCCTTTAAAATGCTGTTAGAAAATAACCCTTAGGAGGGATTGTTGAAATAACCTTTAAAAGGCTTTAAAAAGGCTGTTGCTTTAGAAAAAGATGAAAAAAGTCTCTGAATAAATTACTGTGGCATACCAAGCAAAAAATTGCTTCTATACCTGCCTGACACAGAGAATTATGTTGCTTGAAATTCAAAGGATAACTCTTTTTTTCATTGGCTGAACAACCAATAAAGGTTTTTGGTAAGTCAGTGAAATTACTTGGTGGAGACTTTGCACATAGGCCACACCCCATCGATGGGGAGGGGAAAAAACCTCGTAAGAGCTGTCGACAATTTGCATGCCAACATTAGCATTATCTACTTCCGTGGATCTAAAAACCAGACGGTCTATGGAACAAATTAATGGGGTTTTCCTTCATCTTTAAGTATGGATTGGGTCTCTTATATATGCGTTAGTGTATGGAAAAATATAGCTTTTGGCATATTTTTTTTATGTTTCACAAAACCGCAGTGTATTTTTAATAACGGCTAAGCTTTCAACAAACGACGAGCCTCGGTCTCAATATCTGGCTTTTTAGCGCAGCTAATTTGGTTTTAAGGGCAGCTAGCTGACCAAAATGGCAGCTAGCTAACTCATTTCTGTTAACAAGCTGAATCACATGGGCAGCTAGCTAGGGAAAATGAGCAGCTAACTCAAATAAAGGCATAGCTAGTTACGGTAAGTCAAATAAACGAACGGCTTGCCATAATAGGATGCCCTTCAAACTGTCCTGTTATGCAGAATGAACTGACTTGTTGGTGAATATTGTATCATGTCACAGCATATTGTAGCGTGCCAACCAGTGGCTCAGTTGTACAGAAGTACTGTACTCTCCGAGAGGCTCTCGTTTTAAGCATGCACTGTATGTACCAGGGGGCCCAGGTGTTACGCTCGATGTATGCACCCAGGGGCCCGGGGGCCCTAGTGGTCAGCTCATGCTTTAAGCACCGAGGGGCCCGGGGGCCCTAGTGGTCAACTCATGCTTTAAGCGCGGAGGGGCCCAGGGACCCTCACACTGTAGATGCCGAGGGGCCTAGGGGCCCTAGTGGTCAGCTCACTTTTTAAACACCAAAGGGCCTGGGGGCCCTCACAGCGTAGGCACTTAGGGGTCTGGGGGGCCCTTGTGGTTAGCTCACATTTTAAACACCAAGGGGACTCGGGGCCCTCACATTGTAAGTGCCGCGGGGTCTGGGTGGCAGTAGTGGTCAGCTCACGTCTTAAACACCAAGGGGTCTGGGGGGCCCTCACATTGTAGGCACTTAGGGGTCTGGGGGGCCCTAATGGTCAGCTCACATTTTAAACACCAAGGGGCCCGGGGCCCCTCACATTGTAGGCACCGAGGGGTCTGAGGGGCCCTTGTGGTTAGCTCACGCTAAAAGCGCCCAGGGGCCTAGTAGTCAGTTTGCGCTGTGCGCACTGAGGGCCCTGGCGTTCAACTTCCTTCGGAAGTCTTGGGCCATGCACCGCGCGCGGCCTGAGGCTTGGAGGCCTCCTGGCAGTCCGAGACCCCAGGGCACTGGCCCCACTGGCCCGGTCCATAATCCAGCCTTGCTGACTTCAGCTCGTTAACAGCAATTGCCCCAACACGTGTTGGAGCAAGTGTTAGAGACTACGTATTTGAGAACTCGTGTATTTTTTGTCAACATGTATGTATTCAAACACACCTTGATAAGATGATGTTTCTTGTCCAGCTTTGGCAATTGGAACAGTTTGCACGTGTAGTACGTTGCGAGAGTCGGTATGATGAACTGTAACGGACAACAAACAAAATTACAACAAGCAGGGGGCTGAGAATATGAACATTCATAACATCAGCAAGTTGGGGAACAGCGACCTTTTAACAAACGAAATGAACATTATTTGGTGATGCTGTTGCTGCTGCGTTGGCAGCGGTGCCCAAGCACAATGGGGAAAAAAACAACTCAACAATTTCAACAACATCGGTGCGGTATTAAAAGGGGAAAAAAACATAATAGGCGACGTTTCGTGCAATGGCCCTTCTTCATTGCACATGACGAACTAGACGTTTTAAGTGCAGCAAAGAAATCGTAATCTCCATCAGTCATGATCTATCCACTCTTATATGAAAGCCTCCCCCGTGTCAATAGTTCCACCATTAATCACCCTCCTTCATGTGAGCTGATTTCATCGCTGCCAGCTCCTTGTGTGTTCGCTGCTTTGGCTGCTATTGTCACCTGTCGTCTTGTCTATCAGTCACGATCCTTGCGAGCAAGATAAAACCGTATTTATTTTAAATGTAATATCACCTCAAACATTGTGCACTAAAATAAAATGCAATGAAATCATGTTTAAGCAGTGCCAGATAATCCTAGTAGCAAAAGTATCTACATATGCACTCTTTGGTTCTTTCGGTAAAGTCACGTAGGTAGAAAATAATAGATCACGACGTTTCGATCGCAACACAAGCAATCGTGAAGAGTTTGGAAAACATTTAGATTTTTGTATTAGGGCAGCAGGTACTGGGGAGGACCATTGTACATTATTCGGAATATTGGATAATTCGGCAAGGCCAGAGTCCCATATATGTCGAATTAACAAGGGTTTACTATATATCAGGGACGTGCGGTCAGGGGAGGCACAGGAGGCAGAGCCTCACCTGTCATACTCCAATGAAGAAGGGCTGTTACGAAAAGTAAATAATAAAATAAATATTACGAAATATCATTTATATATGATTCCAATCATTTTTTCTAGTCAAAATCGCCAAATCTTCGGAGCTTCGCTGCAAATACAGGAAGAGACAAGAGGTGAGGCAGCGACGAGCTCAGCCTCCCCTCTGATTGCGCAACCCCTCAGTAACTGGGTGGAGCGCGGGCAATAAGCGCGTGCCTGTTACTATCTCTCTGTATGTCACCAATGTAATGTTTGTAGACCCCTTCATTACATGTCCTCGCCTTCCATAGTCCAGGTAACTTATTTCACGTATGTGTTTAAAGATATTTAGGTCTCGTCATGAAACTGCAATGAAAAAACACCAGGGGAGGCAGCTATCATATCTGCCTCACCGAGCGGGGCGTGTCAGACACGCCTCCCTCGGTGAAGACACGCCCCTCCTCAGTAAGGCAGCTATCACATCTGTCTCACTGAGGGGGACGTGTCTTTAGCCCACGTAATTGACGCTCGCTTGCCCTCCACGTGAGCCAGCTCTAGCAACAAAATTCCAGCGGCTGCAAACATGGAAAACGTTATATCAAACCTTAATTTTTTTTTAGCACAATTGGACTTTCAATCAAAACAGGGAGTGATAAACAATGGAAGACCAATGCCTGATCTTAAGGACCTACTTCAAACGAAGGGACAGAAAATAACACGATCGTTTCAAATGGACTGGTACCAACGAAAGGACTGGCTGTGTGACTGTGCTACGAAGAATCGCCTCTACTGCTTCCCTGCCTTCTGTTCTCCACTACCGACAACGTTGGGACTAACGCGGGATTTTGTGACTTGAAAAATCTACCAAGGAGCCTCAACAAACATGAAAAATCAACAACTCACATTTAAAGTCAAATTGCTTTAAAAACTTTTGGAGCTTCAAGGATAGATCTGGTTTTAAATGAACAGCGGAGATTAAATATCAGCATCCACAATGCTAAGGTAAAGGAAAACCGTGAGGTTTTAAAATACCTTATTAATGCGACCTGCTTCCTAGCCAAACAGCAATTAGCATTTCGTGGTAACGATGAGAGTGCAAGCTCTTCTAATCGTGGCAACTATGTGGAGCTATTACATACTTTTGCTGAGAAAGATTAAAAATTAGCTAGACATTTGGAGACATCCACTGTGTTTTCTGGCTTATCAAACAGAATGCAGAATCATTTAATCGAACCAGTCGGTGATGTAATTAGAAATAATATCAAAGAGGAGATTAATGTAGCTCCATTTGTTGCAGTCGAAGTAGACGAGGCAACGGATGTCACAAAAAAGCCCAGGTCTCTGTAATTTTGTGTTATGTGGCTAAAAGTGAGGTGACTTGTGAGGTGAGGGAGGCGTTCTTGGGATTTGATGATGTCAGTGAAGACAGACAAGCACCGGTTATTGCTGATTATGTTTTGGGAGTGTTGGGGGAATACAATTGCGTTGAAAATCTGTCAGCTCAGACTTATGACGGAGCCTCTGTGATGGCATCAGATCTTAATGAGGTGCAGGCCAAGATTAAAGAAAAGGTACCTGAAGCCACGTTTACCCATTGTTATGCACACAAATTGAACCTGGTGCTCTCGCATTCAGCAAAATGTATGCCTGAGTGTAAAAGTTTTTTTTAAAACAGTTGAGGGACTTGCAACGTTTTTCAATAAGTCGACCAAGCGCACCCACCTATTGGACGATGCTGTGAAGCGACGTTTACCAAGAGCAGCGCCCACGAGATGGAGCTCAAATTCTAGACTAGTTCAGATGATCAGCATGTACCAATCTGATCTGCGTGCTGTGTTCCGGATTATGAGCGAAAATCCCGATGGTTGGGACAATGACACCCTGATGATGGCCGCTGGATAGGATCTCTGGCTGTCAAAAGCATCAACCTGCTTCTTCATAATGGCATATGAGGGCATTTTCTATTAAACCGATGCACTCTTTCGTGTGCTTGTAGAATAAAGTAATAGACATTGAATTCTGCGTGCGTGAATCCGCAAAACAATGGGAGTTGTGGAATTCCGGAGACAAGAGTTTGACAGTTTCTATGATCGATTCAAGCAGAAATGCGTCATACTTGGCCAGACAGACAATGCCCGAAGAGGAAAATAATGTTATATAACATTCTGGAAAATACCAGTGTTCAAATGAAAGCTAAGTTTGATCATTTCAGTGAGATAACTTTCCTTGGTTTGGTTTATTGCACGAAATTTTATGAAATCTCTAAACATTTCGATGACACCAAACTGCAGAGCCTATCAAAATATGTAAGGTACTTTGACTTTGTTAGACTAAAGGCTGACCTTATCGGATTGTATAGTTCACAAATGGTGAGGAACGAATACAATCACCCGGACAGCTCCTCAGCTTTTTGGCCCAGAATGATCTGATGCAAACGGTTCCCGAGTCGACAAAGTTACTCCAGCTGGTGCTCACTATACCAGCTACGAGAGCGTCCATTGAAAGGTCGTTCTCTGCTTTGAAACGACTCAAAACATACAGTCGGAATCGGACTGACCAAGGATGACTTTCATCCCTGACAATCATCTCTATTGAGACGGAGAGCCTTTTAAAACTTAAAGAGAATAAAGTGGACTTCTACAACAAAGTCACTGAGATATTTGTCCAGAAAGATAGGCGAATAGACTTCATTTACAAGTAAAGGTATGACCATGCAATATTTTTTTCATTTGTGTTGAATGAGTATGAATAGTGGAACTGCATTCGGCTATAAAACGTGAATCGAATACGTAACTTACCTGTATGCGTGTGTTGTAAAGAATGCTGATATGAAATATGAAACATACGGCCGCCTAACTAATAGTCATTGTGCAACCTGCAAATTGAATGGTGAATTTAAGCTACCTCTATCAAGTTCATATGTGTGTACATCTGGCTCTGATACTAGCCAGTGCCTCCCCAACCATTGACCTCTGCTGTATATACTGGTTCTCAGAGAGTCTATACTTATGGTTCACCAAATTTTGCAAGTGCAAGAAACTTTTTCGAGGAAAAAAACTAAGCCTACATTTAAACTAGCATGTAACAAATATTATACTATTTTACATTGGAAACTCATCGGTCAGCTTTAGAGCATTCTAAGTTGATGGTAGAGAAGCAGTGGAGACAAGTTTCGATTTAAAGCTTTCGTGACTGCAGGGATTCATCTTCTTGGTTCTTTCGGTAAAGTCACGTAGAAGGGAAATAAGGGAAATAATAAAATAATAAAAATAAAACGTAATAACATAATTCTCACGACGTTTCGGCCACAACGCAAGCAGCCGTCCTCAGGTGAAGAACAGGTCTGTCGGAAAGACAGCGTCAGACGCCAGAAGGATAGGCGAATGGACTTCATTTCACCTGAGGACGGCTGCTTGCGTTGTGGCCGAAACGTCGTGAGAATTATTTTATTATGTTTTATTTTTATTATTTAATTATTTCCCTTCTACGTGACTTTACCGAAAGAACCAAGAAGATCAGTGGAGACAAGTTTAGAGTTTAGTAGTACAGTGCTGTATGTAGAGACTGCCGCTAGCGCCATTTACTCGGCAGAATCTCGAAGCTCCCGATAACAACAGATCTACGCGTAGCGCACGGCTCTCGGAATTGTTTCTGGATAAGTGAAGGAAGATTGGTATTGCCGTGTGTTACAGATGCAGGTTAATACAACGTTCCGGATGGTAGAGTGCCGGATAACGGAGAATTTCCTGTTGAGACGAGGATTATGTACAAGGCGCGGTTTGTCCACTAGGGGCGATTGGGGCGCTGCCCCACCAAGCAGCGGAAGATGAGAAATGTTTTTTCTAATAAAAAAAATTCTATAAATTGTTGTGTTGTGTTTACATTTTTTAAAATTATTATGTCAACGTAATTTGCCTAATGAAAATAACACTTTAAATTGTTCACATGAGAAACCGGTGCAACACCACAGTCTGATTTGTGCCTCGGGGAGGTTTGTGTAGGTGTGTGTACAATGGTATGTGGCTGTTATTGTACAGTATGCAGTGTCTTTGATGCCTCGGCTCATTTGTTGAGTCGTGTCAGCTGATCTTTATATTTAGGCTTTTGGCAGTGTCAAAGGGGTTGTGTCGTGTGGACCTGAGGGTCATGGAGACAGCATTTGAGTGCTTTGTTGTTTTGTTTCGTATTGTTTATAAATGCCTACTGTTGGTAGAAAAGACAATTATATCACGTTCAAGGGAAGGTCAATAACATGACGAGGTGTTTCTTAATTAAAACACCATTTCCACTAGGTGGAAATGTCACGAACCGCCACTGATTCTGGATCAGCTGCTGTCGATGTTGGGAACTACAGCTCTCCAGCTGCCTGCAGGCTTTTGTTTCTGATGGTGGCAGGCCCACTTACTCGATTTCTTAAACTAAACTATGCTTTATTTTACCAGGTAAGGCTTACTGAACTCTATCGCTTCATTTCAGAACGACCTGGCCACAAATGATAGCTCAACAAAGTGGCTTATCATGTGAACATTTATAGTAGCCACATACTATAAACACATGTTACTAAATATAGAGGAAAAACCCGGAGGACCCGTAAAAAAAATCCATGCAACCAAATATACAGGCGTCAAGATTGGGATCGAACCCACGACCTCCTGCATAGCAGGCGAGGTAGTTAACATCTCCTAGCCACTGTGGCACCCAGGGATGAGGGCAAGTCCACACGACGTGTATTTCGGAGCTACTGGATTAAGGAACGAGACATTCGTCCATGTTGGGATGAAAGCCTTGGGACTGATAGACCAAGTTCATAGCTTTTCAAGTTGACTGTAGTTGAGGAATTATACGGTTTCGATGTCACTTGTTGCTCTTTGATGGGCATCGAATACCAGGGTAATCGTTACTGGCAATCGTCGTCACACTATTCCTTAATTGTAAAAAAAGGATGTTTTTCAAATCGTACAAAATCGGAACATTGTACCCTCGACTGAGAAACTGGGATTGAAACTTCCAATCAGATCACATGCAGAGGTCACATGACTACCCGAGGTTGCAAGCTATAGACCAATCATTTTTTACTAAACACACTTTAAACCAAAATATCTGGTTTGATTTGGTAGACAGAACTCCAGCTGTGTATGCAAATTCCACTATTAAGTTTGTATAGTTGCTGAAAAAGAGATGCAATACCATTAGCGATTGCCGGTAATAGTTGGCTTGAAGTTACCTCAGTTTGAAGGCATTTAGTCAAGCAATGAACGTTTGACATCACCTGACCTTGGGACTGGCTTCATCTCGATCTATCTCATTCTCTCAGCAGTCGCTGAGTCGGCATAGTGTAACATGCAATATGACTCAAACTTGCACCCACTGGAACCTTTTAGAACATTTTTTTACGATCATCTATTTGTGGTGCACATCAAAAGTGCCACACATTTTTTTGGTCTTTGTTTTTTTATTCTTTCAAGTCTAACCGTGTGTCTAGCAGGAAGCATTGCTAAGTTCAAATTCATTATTTCAGAATTTTGAATGCGCTGTGAACAGTAGACTTGAGTGGGCGAGTTATAATGACAGAGAATGGCAGCCAAAGGCGGTGATGTGTCCCATGGGGGGCATTTCCCTTGGAGATGGTGCGAATAATTCAGCTCCTTTTACAGGTGTTAGGTGGATTTATCAACAACTCAGAACTCACCTGTCCCCCTATTCAGGACACATTGCTAGGAGGGCAATTTATAAGCCCTTTATGAGGTGTTGGCAATAGTCTGTGGTCTATAGACTACACAGGCACTGACCTAATCACGCAGCAAGTCAACAAGCTACAAAGTCACGCGGTCTGTAAAGATATCACTGCTGCCTTTTTCCCAGACGACGTCCAATACTAAGCAGTCAAAGAAACACCTCTATTATGGATACGAATTAGTCTCATTGGTGCCCAAAATATATAATCTGACATTCAGTCTCCTTCAACATATATCAGTCTCTTCCAGTAAAACAAATGCAGTGCAATTATTTCTTACACGACCCCATCGGCCGCACGGCCTTCTGGGAGTGCGTAATTTCAGCAGCGTTCATTCAAGACAAGCAAAAAAGAAACTCTGCACCTGTCTCGGCACACAGCGTCTCGCCGGCAGAGTCAGGCCTGCTCATTTGTACACAGGTGCAGCAGATGCAGTCATTGCCAGGTTTAGGCATAAGCTAAGTAAGTTATAGCTTAGGGCCTCACATTATGAGGAGGGGTCTCTAAATACGACAACAACAAAAACATACAATACGAGGTTCAAAGTTTGACATAATCGGTTGAAAATAAAGGCGATCGGGAAAGAAAAGAAACCCTCAAGAACGGTCATTATCATTCTGATATGACAAAAATATACAGGCATTCCTCAATGAGGCCTCTTAAGCTCCATATAGCTTAGGGCCCCAGCAATATCATAATCCGGCCCTTCAAATCCTGCTCGTCTCAGTGTTCCTCTTTCCATGGCCGCTGCTTGCAAAATTAACTCGCTGCAATGTTTTGTCAGAAGTAGACAAGAATCCCAGGAACACCGATTAAGAAGCGCTGGAATTTCAGTAATGGGTGCATGTTGAACTTCTTTCGCACCATAGGTAGCCAACCGTGTTAATCGGAGATGCAGGGGAAGGATAACAAACTAAACACAAAAATCAGATTTAAAGAAATTAGTTTTCAATTTAGATTTCAAAGTGCAAACCTCCAGTTCCTTCTCAATATCGGAAGAGCATTCCAGACGGCCGCAGAAGCGCATCTGAAAGCGAGCGATGCAGTGACCGCATTTGTCTGTGACTCGATGATACGTGAGAACATGACTGTGATTCACTGCTTAGCAGTTGGTGGATCACACTGATCGTCGTAGACCGTGAAACTCCCAACCATGCCGGGCTTGCGAAGTGACACTTAGCAATACAGCTAGTGGGTTCCAGACCCATGCGTGTGGATTTTGAACATTATCTGCCTCTACATGTGGTTTTACGTGTTCACTGTGGATTCCTACGCGTATGTTTACGCCTTTATTTAATCAATCCACTTCTCCAAAAAAATGTCGAAATTATGTTGCTGACCATAGCCTTCTACGGATACTTAGCACCTTCTGAAAATGCCTGTGTTTAATGGACAGAAGATGTTTGTATTGAGTAATAGTTTTCGTAGAATAATGATGGCCATCGTTATTACCATCACTTATTTTATTTAGCGCGCTTGTCTGAGACCGGGACACGAGGTAGAGTCGGATCTCGCAGAATTCGGTCACCACGGGTTTAATCATCAGCTTCCCCTGATAGAGAGGGGGGGGTACTGACGGAGGGCGGGGGGACTGGGGGGGTTGGGGCACTACATGAACGTTCAATCCATTGCCCCCAAAGTAATGAAGCAACACCATCATCGTTATCATCCAATCAATGACAGGGCACCAGACACGTGACCGCTGCTGCCACCTTCACCTTGTCCCGCCGTCATCACCACCACCACCACCGCCGTCATCAATGACTGCACAAAAGTGACTCTTACTGTCACGTCACCTTGTCGTTCACTACGTCGAACGTGGAGTAGTTTTGGGGCAGGGTCTGCTCCATGGGAGATCCGCTGCTCAGCAGCTGGACGCTCTTGGAGCCCCGCGTGGCCGCGCCGTGTTGCATGATCTGAGTCTCGTTCGCTGGGTCCACAGCGCTGTAGGCCCAGAGCAGGCGCACCGTGTCCTCCTGTCGGGTAGAGACACGGATGGGTGTGGTGACGCGGGGACACATGCGTTAATGAGACTTGCGATCTGAAAAAATCCATGAAAAAAACATGGAGGGAATCATCGAAGAAATTCCTGAGAAGTGTTAACAGAAAAATCTCCAAAATACAGGTTAGATCGCGTAACTATAAATGTGTCGTTAAACCCACCACCACCCGACACAGCCAATTAGTAAGGGTTGTCACGTAAACAGAACATGCCAATGCGTTACTAGTACAGCACACCGGTGTGTTGGAGAGCAAATCCACAACATACGATCTGAGTACGACCTCGGATGAGTGAGAAAAATCTTACTAATATGACCTCGAAATTCCCACTGCCCTCTAGACGTTTCCGCGTGTTTAGATACGCCAGCAGGGAAAGCTATGTTGTAGTGGCATTCAGAAAGATAAGTGCTGTGGCCTCCATTGTGGTGGTTTAACACAGTATGAATGAGACAATACAGTCTGGTAGATCCGAGTCCTCAATCAATGGGTGACGTTCACGTGCACAGAGTAATAATCGTAGTGGCGATAGAAGAGTGATAACGAGGCGACTGACCGCCAGTGAACGATCAAGTGAACGAAGTGAAAAACACTCAGACACAAGCTCCACATTAATTCCTCTACTCCTGGCTACTTCACCTATCTTTCTCCCACAACACTCCCACCATCCCCATTACCTTCATGTCCTCTGCCTTATATAGGACATCATCAGTGGGTGCAGATGGCTGATATAGGTATCAGCAATCATGTACGTAGGCGCAGGTTTAAGATAGCATCATTGCTGGCTGAATGTGTCATGTAGCCCGCATGGCCAACTACATCGTGCTCAACCAAGCAGGTTCTGTCTGGCCGGATAGTGCGGGCTACGCGGGCGGGCACATGCTGGACGGAAGATTGGCTGGTGTACGTGGTGCAAAAGAAGTCCTGGAACTGATTGAACTTACCGACCACTGCTATCAGCGGAAAAAGATCGGTCTCGGTGGAGGAGGCTCGTGAAGGATGCTACTGGGAAGTTAAAGGCAGTCGCCCTCGTACAACTGCGGAGGGCTTAGGAGGGACGCTCACAACAACGAGAGGAATCGCCGGGCAAATAAAACGCAGCCAGTTGGCACGGTGGAGAGCACAGCTGGTGCATCTTACAGTCATCTCAGGCAGTCAACCCCTAACACCTGGGTCTGTCTCGTGACCTCCTGTCTGCAGCGAGTATTCCACCCTTCCCGTGGCCTCAAAGTGCACCTAGCCTGACACAAGCACCAAGCTGAAATCATCGCCACTTAGTGTTGAGCTTTTAGTAGCGAATATACGGCTGCCATTGTGTTTCGGTGCCTATTTGTACACTTGTGTCTATAAATGCACGCATGTGTTTATGTATAAGGGTGGGCATGTCTGTCTTATGGTACACGTATGGATGTGCGTACGCACGAACATACACACGTGCGTGTATGTACGTGTGTACAAGTGTGTGTACTCATGTATCTTTTTGTCTATGTGGTGCTCGCCAATCGCACTTGCCCCTACAGTCTGTTAATGCTATATGGGGAATCTTTGTCTTTATACTCGTGTGTGTGTGCACGTGTGTGTACACGTGTGTGTGTGTGTGCAACACGCACGGTGATGTCCCTGTCATTGACGTCGCACGTGCGCAGCGCGCGCACTACCCGCATGACCGTGTGGGTGTCGTTCTGGCTGAGCCGCACGAGTTTGTAGTCCTGGCTCGCATCCGGCACCAGGTTCCGCACCCCCTCGATGTGTGCGTCCTGATCGCACAGCAGCAGGCAAGCGGGGGGAGGAGGTGAAGAGGGCATCAGGTTTGTGGGAGCAGAATGACAAATTCAGAAGAGGTGATCTCTAATGCGTAACACTTCTGATAATACGTAAAAGCAAGTTTTAATTCGACCCTGGGAAAATGCGTTAACCATTTTATGCATTTGACCCCAGTTTTATAACGTCTAGTTTTTGCAAAGCGTCTTCGTCACCATCATCAACACCAGAATTGATTTGAACGTCAACAACTGCAACACTGCCACAAACATCATCGTCACTCGTTGGTGATGATCGTCACTCGTTGGTGATGATTATGATGGCGACAACAAGGGATTATCATGGCTAGTGGTGGTCATCAAGGTAAATACGATCGTGTCCTGACACCGCGGCCATGCAGGGATCGAACCCAGCCGACTGGTCTCTCCGAGTGAGGATCGCGTCGTCTGCTACTCACCACGAGATGGGTAGCGGCTGCGCTGTCCACCCACCCGACCACCACATCAGAGCCGGCCATCCTTCCCGTGGAGCTCAGCCCCAGGCCGATCCAGCCCAGGGTGCGAACCTGAGCCTCCAGAACGATCTGCTCTTTGTCGAACGCCCACGAGACGTTGAAGTTGCCGGATGCCAAAACCACGCTGAACGGGAGATTGCCCGTGACATTCAAAGCACAGGACACCTTCATCACCCCCGTGATCATCATCACCATCATCACAACCGCCGGTGCCATCATCTTCACCGACATCGTCCACACGTGGCGAAGCAGAGGTCGACAGATTGGGTGACAGACGCGGCGCTGCCAGTGAACACGGAGGACGCGAGGTCTTTATAAGAGAGGGGACCGTGGCAGCCGAGACAGACGAGGAAGGTGGGGAGATGCGAAAAAATTGGTATTTAAATGCGTGCCAGCAGATCCTGTGACTTAGACCCCCCCCCCCTCCGCTGCATCGCTGGTGCATATTTTAGTAAGAAATGTTCTTTTCCGACAATGCGAGCGTGTGCTATTTTAACCCCGATGACAAGTGACAGATTGTGGGCTTTTACATTCTTGCCAGCACATGATGAGGTGGGCTGACCTTAAAACTAATGGCTGGGCACGCCAATGCCAATTGCAACAAAGACAAAGATCCCCGTATAGCTTCACAGACGTTTGAGGCATGTGGTGTTAGCGAACATGTATAAAGGCGGGCACGGCACACGAATGGGTGGGTGGCCAGCACCACGCCCGGCCGATTTTGTCTCCCAGGTGGTCATGTTTACACATTGCACCAGGTACTCATTTGAGGCTGAGTCGACTTAGCAGAGGCCCAGTAACGGTGCAAATATGTTATTGGTCGTGAGCGGGATCTCGGGTCGCCGGGGTCATAGCGCAGCATGTACATGACTCTAAAATTAGAGCACATCAAGTAGATATCTGGCTTATATGGTGAGTTCATGTTATCCCCTTGTATATGTCTCTTTCTCCCGCATGTTCTAATCAAAAAAGGGTTTTGTTTTTCAAAATCAGAATCTTTATTGAGACTGGAGAAATCCGATGAGCTATGAGGCTCTTTTTCACACTTGTCCAGTATCATAGATGTCCAGAATCTGGTTATATACTTAAAAGAAGACCCTTCAGACTTAGCTACTATATTCTAGCATGTGGTAGTAATATGTTCAGGAGCCAAATGCTTTTGTCGAGGTCTGCTAGATACGACAGAGCTTCAGAAGAGAGTCCGTATAGCTTTGTGATTCTTCCTCCGTTGAAGGATTGCAGACTGCAGTGGTCCATAGTTTGGATTGCATGGCAACAGTCGCACTCCTATGGCTGGTCTTTAATTTTCCATTCATGACGATGACCGAAACGGCCTGTTATTGTTCAGATGCGGTTGATGGTTATATAATACCAATATCGTCGAGGAATGTCAGAGCCAATATGATTGGCTCCGACATAAAGCCTGTCTTCGCCAGGTAAACGTTTTCAATAATTATAATAATTAACCTGATATGATTTTTTTTAATCTACGATCAAACACTAACTACTCTAAAATTAAAAAAAAAACTGTTGACGACTTGATTCAATTCCTTATTTTTAAATACGTAACCGCTCAATTTAAAGAGTCCGATCTTATTTGTATTAGAAAAAACAAACATTTATGAATTTCATACTCTATGAGGGGAAACACCTATCTTTTGCCGTTTTCGAATTATTCAGATTTGAACATCATAAATTAGTATGTTTCATTGAAACCGCTTGAATCCGAAATATCTGAAAAACAATAAAAGATAGAACAATGGTTCTCGCTTTAATTGATTTGCAGTCGGTTTCTGAATGGCACTCACAAACATGTTTATGGAGCACTTAAAATCGAGATTTAGGGGCCTTAAAATGAAAATTCTCGGATTTTCAGATGTTCCCATTGTTGGTGTCCTGAAAGCTACCTATGTACCAAATTAGAGCTTTCTACCTTGTCGGGAAGTACCATAGAGGTTTTGGTGACATACAGATCAATGCATTTATTTATTTATATATGTTTTTGGTCTCTAATGAGTTAATTCTGGACCGTACTCCATTTTCAGTCCACACAGGAAGTGGCTCCTTACCACTTAGTCCACACCGGAAGTGACTCTATTTCACCCAGTCCACACACAAAGTGACTCCATTACACTCAGTCCATACAGGAAGTGACTGAATTTCACTCAGTCCACAAAGGAAGTAACTCCATTTCACCCAGTCCACGCAGGAAGTGAGGCCCCGCCTGGTTGCATATCCTTATATGGCTGTCCCACAAAAACAAAGCACCTGTCTAGGTATGTTACGTCATGAATCACTCCACTCATGATTGATGGAGCAGCTGTGGAGAGAGTGGAGAAGTTCCCAAACCTGGGCATTGTGCTTTTGGCCAGCTCCGGTTGGGCTGCAGAAGTCTCACTCCGAGTCAGTTGAAAGGCATTCCTTTTTCATCTGCTGCATAATGATGTGTGGACACTCCCTGGTGTATTGTTCCATATAAAGCTCTGGGTCATCTCATAAGCACTGCTTCCCCCCTATGTTCCGTTTGGAATTGATAAAAGCTACCATACTGCCTCTACTTGATTACTGTGACATCGTGTATAAATCAGCCCCAAGTACTGTACTGAAGAAGCTTGACTCAATTTATCACTCAGCCTTAAGATTTGCATTGAACTTCTCATATAGGACTCACCACTGTGATCTCTACATTGGGTCAAACTTAACATTTCTTAATGTTCGACAGCTTGTGCACCAGATCTTATTTATTCACGATGTACTTACAAAAAAATCCGCAGACTACCTGCTGGATCTCCTCTCTGTTTCAAAGAACAAATTTGACCTAAGGTCTTCGCCCATTTACCAGCTTCACAATCCCTATTGCCGTACAAATACAGGAGGAAAGGCCTTTGCTATTGATGCCCCAAGGGTTTGGAATGCTATTGCCAATAAACTGCAACTTGAATCACTACCTATGAGATCTTCACTCAGAGGAGTTGTACACCCCGAGCTGCCACTGCTATTCAGTGGCCTAAAATAAAATAAAATGTTTCGCTCCGGATGACCGCTGCAAAGTATTATCTGTGTTTAGATTTAGTGTGCTGATCTTAAAGGTGCATTGAAAAATTTGATACTCCGACTGATGCTCCTGATGTTGTGGAGTGACTCATGCAGCCAGCTATGGCTGCAGGGTTTGGTGGTACATGTTGTTTATGTCGTTTATTGTGAAAATTCGGTCACAGTTCCTATGATCACTGTTACATTGCTTTTATGGCTTTATTTTGGTGATTTCGAAAAGTTTTTTTGTTTGGCCATGTTTGTTTGTTGTAGTACGGAGTTAGACTGATGGCCGTAATCTAAGTTGTTTTGTGGTTGTTGTTGTTTGACTTGCATCCCACTGGGATTTTTGCACACAGCGTTGGTGTACGGTGCTTTTTTGTCTGGAATTTTTGCAGTTTTTTTTCCTGGATTTTCAGTTTGCACATAGTCACATAGTCACTTTAAGATGTTTTCTTGTTCATGTTTTTGTTTTTTGTTTGTTGCGGTTGCACCCGATTCAAAAGCCGAATGGCTCACAGGGCCATACCTAATAAATGAACTTGAACTTGAAAAAATTAAATGAACTTGATCTCAGCCACAGTTATGCTCTCCCTTCTCTTTGCTTGCGAAACGTGGACCCCTTTGTTGGACATTTGTGCCAGTTTAATACATTCAGGCTGGGGAGTGGAGTACTGCTCTGTGGGACATGTATCGCGTGTATATAATTTCTTTCCTCCAGTATGTCAGTCATCGTCCCCCTTACCCTTTAACCCCCTTCAACAGGCCCCGTCTCATCGAACTCAGGGTGCCGTTTGCGGAATTTCTGTTCCCCCCTTCGTGTGGTGATTGGCGCTTTGTATTGAGCTCGCGTTGAGTTGAAATAAAAAGAAAAAAGGATCAATAATTCAGCCTGGCCTGACCCGACTGGATTGTGTGAGGAGCTCACAGATCCTTGAAAGATCTGAACAGTCCTATCAGTGTGCTTCTGTGGCAGGCGAGGTTGCGTTGGCTGGGTCATACAGCCTGCATGCCCATGGGCTACTGCATTCCCAAGCCGCTTCTGTTTGGCCAGAAAGAGGGGGTTAAATGGACGCGGCACAGGCTAGAGAAGGGATGGACTAATATGGTACAGAAGGATGTGGAGTTAATTGGACTTGCCGATGACTGGTACCAGCGGCGTTATGATCAGCCTTTGTGGTAGATGGTTATGAAGGTACTACTGGGCAGTTGGAAGCAGATCCATTCCAACAACAGTGGAAGGCAGAGGAGCAACGGTCACATAAATGGGTGGAGTGCCAAGGCGCTGAAACTCAGCAAGTTGGCTCAGTAGGGAGCACAGGTGGTGCCTCGGCTGGTCATCTCAGTGAGACAACCCATGGCATCTGGATCCGTCCCGTGGCAACCTGCTGGCAGGCCTTCGACATTGAATTTTGCCTCAAGGTGCACCTAGCTTGGTACAAGTGCCATTGTGATGTCATCACCACTATATGAATGTACATCTATATGATTGTACATCACACTCCATATCACATGTATTTCACATTTTCATAAACAGTACAACTCGAGTATGAACTGAAGTTGGCTCCCCTTCCTCTACCAAATCACGTTTTCCATGTTTTTAGACATCACGAGTTGGCCAGAAATCCAAATCTTTGAGGAAGATTTTCCTTTACCGACTGGCTCTCATTATCTTAGAATTCTGCTCAAGCTGAAAATATCAACAAGCATCTCATTCGAAAATGTTCCCAGCAGAACCAACCCTTAATTAAGCAAAATTTAATTGCGTCAGTAAAGCAGTCCTGGCACTTTTACTTGCAAGCATTTCTGAGTGAGTCTTTATCAGAAAATCTGGTCAGCTTATTTTGGTTATTTGGGTAAACTCTGAAAATAATATACAACTGGAGTTGTTCTTTAACTCTAATTCTTGGAAAAATCGGGTCAGCTCGGCCGTAGCAGTCTAAAAAAAAGTGTTCTTGCACAACAAAGTAACCGGTCAACACAGCCAGTTGTGATTTGATTCACTGAGCAGTTCCTTCGTGGACAATACAACTCAACATATTTGTCAATAATACTGTGGCTTTAAAAATATATATATAATCGGTGATGATTCATCAAATGACCCTCCCACGATTTATTTCCTAGTGTGGTGCACGTGGAAGTCATGGTAGTTGCAAGGAGCCCATAAAAATGTCATATACAACTTAAAGTAATTGGACATACTTTATTGTCGTTACATAAAAGCCAATGCTTGTTGCATGAACATGAACATCCATTTTACTCAGTCAGTGAATTATTACATTTCTAATTGTCATGGCAGTTCTTGAGCTCCTTTACTTCGTGAGTTAGGCGAGGAAAGACTCCGCAGACAGCAGAGCGAGGGTCGCGATGGGCAGTGTCAGGAGCAGGTGCAGCCAGGTCCCGTGGGGGTGCACGCTCGGGGCTGCCCCCTTATCTCCGGACTTCGTTGTGGGTTTCGTGGTAGGTCTCGTGGTGGGTTTCGTGGTAGGTGTCGTGGTGGGTTTCGTGGTAGGTGTCGTGGTGGGTTTCGTGGTAGGTGTCGTGGGGTTGCAGGGGGGCGCTTCGGGGTCCGCAGGGATCTCGGGGATTCTCTGCCCGGGGAAGGACTGGAACCCATTCTGCAAAGGTGTGGAGATCGTGTTGAGAGTGGGAGATCATACGGATAGATGGAAGAGGAATTTAAGGGGAACAGATTGTCAAACATAGGTACAGTTATTACTTCAATACTCTGAGTTCTGCTTGAGTTATGACTAAGTGTTGTGGCATCAACAGCATTGGCTAGATGAACCCTTGACATTAACTTGAGAAATACATGTGTGTATTGGGCATCTGTGTGCGTGTGTGTAATCCAAAAGTCTTAAAGCTTCAATACTCTTTATAAACCTTGACTTAAAGATTTCGTGACTGCTGGAATTCATATTATTTGGGTATTTCGGTAAAGTCACGTAGACAGGTTCAAAGAAAATAACAAAATAACAAAATTTTTAAAAAGACCAGATGGCTCAATGGGACACTGTCTACAAGAAATCCACCCATATGGATGCCTACCTTCCCAGAATAATTTCCTCATCAAAACTCTACACCATAAAGCTCGATGTATTTCTAACCAGTGAACTGGAACACGTACACCAAGCTCTCAAGATGAATGGATAATCAGACTACACAATCTGTAAAGCTATCACCCCAACCAGTGGGAAAGGACCCAATCAAAACAATCACCTTGCCATACATAGCAGGGGTCACAATTTTTTTTTCAAAATCATGAACAAACACAAGATCCAGTTCGATTTAACACAGTACATAAAATTCGTGATCTGATCCCATCTGTGTAGGATGCGATCCTTGACATGCAATACCCCGGCATCTCCAAACTAAGCTGTCTGTGGCAGTAGTTACATTTGGAGAAACTAAGCAACATGTCTCGGACCGTGTTCGTAGACATAAGGCAGATCTGAAACACGGTAGGACCAATACCACGGCCGTGGCTGATCATTGTTTACATGCGGTGGGCTCACACGAAATTGATTTCTCCAAGACGAATGTACTTTGCAAACCTACTGGCTATCAAAAAAGATTAGTTCATGAATCCATCCATATATAGAGACACAAACACAGTTTCAACCGACAAGATGGGTACAAACTGAGCAATCATTGGAAGGACGTAATTAACCAGTTTAAGTCATAACTTGCTGTGATGTTCCCAACCTATGTTAGTTGTTATTTTCGGCCCTCAGATTAATTACATTAACAGATTAATTTTCTCACTAATGCAGCTACCTCACGCGCCATCCTCGAGGCTGATGCTTCATGATCTGCCATTAACATGCTAATCTCTCACATTAACATGCTAATCTCTCACATTAACATGCTAATCTCTCACATTAACATAGGTCACCTTGGCGCACTCACCGTTAAGGATGCTCGGCAATCTTGCATTGACATGCTAATTTTTGCCTGCAGCCCTTTCATTGGTGAAAAGCCCACCACCGCCTTTTCTTAGAACCTATCTATGTGACTTTACCGAAAGACCCAAAGAATACTCTTTAGAACATTGTAAATTCACCCCGCAAAGTCAAACCAAGCTAGAAATAGCTCTCTTTGCCTGCAATTTAGGGTTGGCATCGACTACCCAAATGTAATCTTTCAACCGATGTTGCCATCAAACTTATTGTCATTTGGTAAAAAAATATTTTGCCGGCCCCCCCACTCCGCGCTCTTCTCACCGTGTCCGCGTGCACCGCGTACTGCTCGGCCGTGCGCGCCGCCATTTCCACGGTGCGAATAGTCTGCTCTGTCCAGTTCACTTTGTCGTAGACAAAGAAGATCGGCTTCAACTTGTCCTCCACAGGGGTTATGATCAGGTGTGGGTAGCTACTGCGAGGCGGACAATATAACGTACAGTAAAACCTCAAGAAGCCGGACTCAGGAAGGTCAGTATTTCGAGTCAGGAATACCGAGATAAATACACACGTAAATAAAAATAAAACACAAAGAACTCCAACCAGAACATTGCAAGAGCCCTCCATATAGAATATCGGAACCCTATTCGATGTAGTGCTCTTGCCAATAATACCTGGTAATCCAAAGCAGCAATTATTCAACCAGAGTGACTCGTTTAACAAGCTTATGAAACACAAAGGTCAAAACTGTCCAAGTTTGCTTCTTAAACAAATGCTGATATTAATCTGGAAAGCGAGTAGTCTGATAGACTAAAACATGTATGTATGTACTGTATATGAGGAGTCAGTCATCTCAGTCAGTCAACCAACGGCACCTGGGTGTGTCCCGTGACCTCCTGTCAGTGAGCCTTGGACACGTGGCCTCGGAGTGCACCTGGCCTGACAAAAGCGCCATGGTGACATCTCCACCATTTAGTGGTGAATGACAGCTGTTGTTTTTGTGGAGCCAATCACAGAATGGAGTTCTGATATATATTACCTTTGACCGGCAGTGGTCAACAGCAATGAATAATGAGGAGATTGTGTTCTGGGCATAAAAGTTTGGTTCAAGGCTGTTCCAAAGAATGGTGACAATTGATTCCAAGCGGTAGTGGTACATGAGGCATCGCAGAAACTTGTTCTGACGGTTGACAGGCCTGGCCGTCTTTGTGGGTGCACTCTTATTAGAATCATAATCTTTATCCTGGAGGAATCCGATGAGCTACGAAGCTCTTTTTCACAGATGTCCAGTCGGGGCAGATCAGCAAGTTACAGCAACACAAAAAACGATAGGAATGCAAAATAGGACAAATGTAAGCATGTCACGATATATAAATATAAAGAAAGTGTATTGGTACAAATTACATGAGTGCATATTGGTGTGCGCGCGCGTGTGGTTGCATTTCTCACGGCATGACGGTGTATCCGAAGGCGGGTGCCACCTGCGTCATGTCATAGATGCTGAGACAGCGCGACACGTTCACCTTGGGGTAGTAGTGCAGGAAGCCGAGGCACATCTCCTCCTGGGTGCTGAGCCCACCCTGTGGGGAAAAATAGGTCGCTGAGAGGTCAAGGCTCATTTCCTGCAGGGGTGATCGAACTTTTGCAAACTGTGCAGCTCCCAAGCTCTGGGCCACTTTGCCTTTGCTCATAAGACAATCATAATCGCGAGATATGTTTAAGTCTGTCTTGGAAAACTCACCTCTTTAAACTGGCTTTCATCCCCTCGTTATGCCCATTTACCCTGGTTTTGTTTATTTCCTGCTTTCCTTACATGGCGCATTGGGATCAACGGATGAAATGCACCTTACAAATGTGAATTGTTATTTTTAGATGGTGGGGTAGGGCCAGGGTTTTTCCCCACCATGGGAACACTCTTCCATGTTTACCAATCCTCTACGTCCAATTTAAAATTGCACGTGCCTGATGATTGCCAAGAACATCCAGCGAAGCACATATATAGCTCGTATTTATATGTGTGTAATGTGAGGATTAATCCGGGTCGTTGACGGATCACAACTCGTCACGATGATTGGCTCTGCCAGTCCTGGTCCATAGCCAATGGGGGGAAGCCTAGGGGTGTGGCCCTGACGTAATGGAAAGGTGACGGCTGTAAGTAGAGGATTGGTTCTGCTGGCTTTAGCCACAGCCAATGGGGAGACGAGTCAGGGGCGTGGTCCCGGGAGCCTACGGTGGAGTCTGGAAGATTCCATAGAGGCTAACCAGGATTGGTGGAAACGTACCACGTGACCCGGATATTAAATAGGGGTGGAGACGAACAACACATGGTCAGAACTGGAACGAACGAAGGGAAGAGGCCACACGAGAGCGGGGGTCCAGGCTGCCACGTGGCTGCGCGCGTCTCTCTCTTTCTATCCCTCTCACGCTGTCTGTCAGCAGCGTGAAGGAGTGTTGTAATGAAAGACGAATGAAGACCAGATTCCAGAAGTCGCTTCAACGACCTTTATTACATGTGCATGTGCTATCCCTCATAACAAAAACAGCGATCGCCCAAATGTACGTAGAGATCTTGTGTGTCGATGTGCATACGTACGTTTGTGTCTCACACACACATACCATCTTTAAATGAGTACCCTGTGTAGTGTGTAACATTTAGCACTAGGGAGACAAAGGCGGCCGGGCGTGGTGATGGCCATCCACCCCCTGTGTGTGCCGTTTCATTCCCTTGAAGTGCTCCCTAATATAACTTTTCCTGACAGTCTGCAAGGGTTATATGGGGGATCTTCATCTTTGTATTTGTCTCATATGATATGTAGAGCACTAAGTTGGAATTTAAGATATAGACCTTTGTGCCATGTGCAGTTTACCGTGGTTGTATTGGATCGTTCCTTGCTGTTGTAGAGGCACTCTGTGATAATGGAATCGCCCTAAAATTTGAACATGAGATAAACATTGGGCATAGAACATAGGGTCAACCAATGGATCAACATAAAAGCAAAACTTGGTTATTTTCAAATATCTTTAACTGCTTTACAATATATTTTTGTTCAATTTACATACGTTTGTAATTGTCACACCTGACCCAATATTTATTATGTAAAAAAAATTGTATTAAATCAAGTCGTGACCACCAATCAACCACAATTCATCCATTCGCTATACAGGAGAATTGATACCTTTTTATTCCTTGTTAAGCAAGTTAAACTCAGTTATATATAGCGTCATTCACGCAAGGCCTCACAGCACTTTATAACACGAGTAAAAACCCTTACCATTAAAACTGCGAGGAAAACAACCCGACACAGACAGATGCGAAAGAGGAAATAAATGTGTTTTCAGATGAGCCCTAAAAACTTCGACTATCTAAGCGTCCCTAACTGGACTGCGCCCAACGACTGAAAGCTCTATAACCCATTCAACGCAGATTTTTTTCTTTAGCACACTCAAGTAGCCAGATTTGGTGGATCGAGAAGTAAACCTCGTTTAAAAGGGGTTTTTATGGTCACACTAATGGCAGCTGGACCTTTGGCCAACATGACTTAGTATTTGAGTTTAAAATTCTCTGGCTGTTCAGTGGCTGCAGCTAGTCCAACTTGTGGATGATGGTAATCGGCCCTAGGTACTCACGGGCATCACGGAAACGAGCTTCTTCAGGTAGCGCGTCTCCTGGAAGTTGAAGTCGTAGCCCATGTCACGACCCAGGTCGCTGATCTGCTTGCCGTCCCTGGCCAAAGTGACAGTGAACACTGGGATCAGTATCTGTACAGTCTGTTCTCCTATAACGCGCGGTTTTCATAACGCAAATTGTATGTAACGCGATTAATGTATTAGGGAACACATTTGTTATTACGCGGATGCAAATTGGATAGAACAGGGGTTACGTTCATGGAAAATGTCGTGTTGGGCAAAACCGCGTTAGAAAAACAATAGACCTCATGGGAAAAATAGGGTTGCGTTCTTGGGTCCGAAATGATCACCCCCTCCCTCTTTGTTTAACTAACTGTGTGTAGCCGAAACAGAATAAGAATGTTTGTTTTACCTGATAAGGGTTTTTACTCATGTTATAGGTCGCGCAAGTAGGAATAAAGGTTTGCAAAGCTGCCTCGGCGTAGTATCACACAAGGTGGGATGCTGCTGGATGCTTCTAGATGCTACCCACGTGCCTCAGTCTTTATTCAGCCTGCATATGCATCTCACATGTTATCACGGACTGTGCTTTACCCTATATTATATATTATAACACAATTTTTCCATAACGCGGTGTTCTTCAGGAACGCAACTACTGCATTATAGGAAAACAGACTGTACTCCCCACCTATAAGATAAAGCGGTTTAGAAGTAGAGTAGACTCGATTATCCGCGCTAATGATGGGGAGGGCGGCCACGGATAATAAATAATCGTGGATATTCCGAAAATATCCATTTTCCACCGATCTCTATGCGCGTGCTCAGTGATAACACTTTCGTGCTCTCGAGCAGAAGACTCCGCTCACTAAGTGGACAGCAGAGCCACGCCAATCAAAATCAATCAAGCGCCGCCCACTCCTGTAAAGATATGCAACTACTGTACTGTAGCGGCGATCACGTGGATTTCGGATGAACCGGAGAACTTTTTTCGGTTAAAGCACGTGACTTGTAATAAACATGTCCAAGAAAAACAATGTAGAACCGTTTCAGATTATTAATTTGGACTTAAGGGAAACTCCATGAGTTATTCATTTATGTCAAAATCTCAGGTGCGTGGTTAATTCGCAAATTGAATAAACCGCATGCGGATAATCGTGAGTCTACTGTACAAGAAAATCTTGTCCGACACGTGTTATCGACATCCAAACACGCGTTATCGAATGCGTGTTTGGAAGTCGGATTCCTCCAGGATAAACAAATATTCTTATTTTCTTTCGGCTGCACACAGTTAGTTAAACAAAGAGGGAGGGGGTGATCATTTCGGACCCAAGAACGCAACCCTATTTTTCCCATGAGGTCTATTGTTTTTCTAACGCGGTTTTGCCCAACACGACATTTTCCATGAACGTAACCCCTCCGTCCGGCAAGGTCTGCTTGAGCGTTCACCAAATGCACGTGTATTATAAGAGAATGTGAGGCTGTGTTGAGAAGGTTCAGGTCCATAGTGCAATGTGCAAACCATTGCAGCACTGCTTCCTGTATAATATGAATACTAAGAACTATTCTTTTTTACGACTAACATTCTTTATTCGATAAACGCTGAACAAGTTCTGCATATTTACAATGATGTGGCAATGCGGCATTACCCAAGCATTGAAAGAATCCGAATCTTTATTTATACAGTATTGGAGGAGTCCAATGATCTGTAAAGCTCATTTTCACAGATGTCCGATAGAAGCTGGTCAGAACGTTACAACAACAAACAAAACAAAAGTATAGAAAAGGTATAGCAAAGGTAAACAAAAGTGAGAAAATAATGCACAGTAGATGAGGTCCCAACAAACTTGTGCAGATCCCATAAACGAGCGTCACACTCACCTGTAGTGCCGCACCTGGACGGCTTTGCCCAGCAGGTGAGCGTGCAGCATCGTAGCAAACACCTTCATCTCTCCGCTCTGCGTCGCCTGTGTGAACATAACGCCCATTTTCTCTGTGGCCGTAGCACTCCTCTGGTCAGGCCCACTCTCAATAATGGACTTTATATAAAAAAAAAGGTCCCATGTTTACTTTTACCGTGTCTGTAACTTGTAGTCTTGAGGTTTTGAGTGTGAGTTATGAAAACATTGCCGATAGTTTGATGGGGGACGGGTGATGTTGGCGAACGTGATAAATAATGTTTGTTCGTTTGGGAGGTAGGAATACGCTGAGAGGTCATATAATTGTGTGCTACACAGAGGTTAGTGCCTACAAACCACTCAAAATATCAGTTTAACACGTAGGCTTTCGCGACCAGTATTATTCATAATAAAGGTTTTTGGGTTAGTTCGCGTTGTTTATAAATGTGTCGCAACCCTCCACCACCCAACACAGCCAATCAGTAAAAAAATGTGTCACGTTGAAAAGAGACAAATAGTTCACTATTTTAGCCCACCAGTGTGTTGAAGAGTGAATCTATAACATTTACAATTTGAGTACGACGTTTCGCTGGAAATTACATCCAGCATCTTCGGGGGATTTGCCATAATAATAAAGCCATCCACCTGCTTCCGGTCTTAAATAGTGCATGATGACGTCATCATTGTTAAACCCCATCATGATTCGAGATCAAAGGCGGAGGTCGGGGTGTATGCAATTATGTAATGATAATTAGCTGATTACTGATCTAAGACTGGAAGCAGGTAAATTGCTTCACTATTTTGGCAAATCCCCCGAAGATGTTGTGAATTCACTCTTCAACACACTGGTGGGCTAAGATAGTGAACTATTTGTCTCTTCTTTGTTTTTTTCGGTAAAGTCACGTATAAAAATAAAATAATAAATTAAATAATAGCATACGACGTTTCGATTGCAACACAAGCAATCATCATCAGGTATAATGAAATAGCGACATAGAATATAACCAGAAAACTATAGACAGACATATAAGCAGACAGATATCACCAAGATACATAGAGAGAGCGACCCAGGTACAGAGAGAGTATGCTATTATTTAATTTATTATTTTTATACGTGACTTTACCGAAAAAACCAAAGAATAATTCCTGCAGTCACGAAAGCTCCAAAATTAAGATATTTGTCTCTTGTCAACGTGACACATTTTTATACTGATTGGCCGTGTCGGGTGGTGGAGGATTGCGACACATTTATAAATAATGCGATCTAACCTTCTTGGTTCTTTCGGTAAAGTCACGTAGAAGGGAAGTAATAAAATAATAAAAATAAAACATGTCGCCTCGACGGACCTGGTTTTCACCTGAGGACGGCTGCTTGCGTTGTGGCCGAAACGTCGTGAGAATTGTTTTATTATGTTTTATTTTTATTATTTTATTACTTCCCTTCTACGTGACTTTACCGAAAGAACCAAGAAGATGAATCCCTGCAGTCACGAAAGCTTTAAATCGAAATTTAATGCGATCTAACCCAAAAACCTTTATTATGCACTCAAAATATGCCCAATGTTAAGATGAAGACGGGGCACACTGAGTGTGATTTAGTTACGGGCAGTATGTAGTGTAGCTGCTTTATGTCGGGAATGCCGAGTGATCTTTTCCATAACCACTCAAAAGACATTTGCACAGAGAAGAGGCCATTGTGAGCAGATGAGGAATTGGGGTGGATTGGATGTTTTGTGTTGTGAGAGATTCCTCACCTCTCTGCCGGGCGCCACACGCCTGGGTCGCGACATCGCTCCCTGGAGCGGCAGCGCGGCTCCGTCCGGGCCAACGGTGGCGAAGCCCCGAGTGGGGCAGATGCCGTAGTTCGTGTAGGAGGGGGCTCCGGGCGGGACGAAGTGCATGATCTGTACGTCGAGGCCGGTCTCCAATACCCCCGCGTCGTATGCACGCAGCTCCGGTGTTATGTAGAAGCGGAGGCCGGAGCTGTCATTCACCCCTGGAGTTGGGGGTGCAAAGGTGCAGGCGCAGACTTTAAATGACAGTGCGGCATTTCCTTGCAGTTTGACATCGGCAAACCTGAACTGAGGTCTTCTAGACTTTTCTCCCTCTGTCTCTGCCACTCGATCCCATGAGTTGGCCTTTCTATTTCACGTAAACTTTGTCAAAGCATTTGCCTTCATGGACTCTAACAAAAATTGTCCTCCCTCTTCTCCCACGTGTCCATTTAGGACCGCACTCAATATCAATCTTTCTCTTTTGGGTGATTCATGCACTTTACTTTTTAAAGGCCTTTCTCAGTCGATATCGTTCTTCACTTCAAACTGCATTTGACCGTATTGGTGGTACACTGGTGCGCGGTGTAAAAAAAAGCACATTTTTCAAAAGTATTACTTATTTTCTCATGATTCGCAACCCCGGTCGCAAACCCTCGGGTGGTGTGTCAAAATCAGTTCTCGTGATGTCGAAGCAGTCAGAAGACGAATGCCAGTTCAAATTTTGATTCTAGACTATTTTATGAGAAACATGTGATAAGCTGCACTATTGTACCGTCAATACGTCCATTTAGTGCATACACTGATTGGTCTCTTGAGCATTTCCTCCTCAGTCTTTAATTTGCCAAATATCCCAATCTATCATTTACATCTACCACATCTTTTTGTAAGCGCCTTGTCTCAAATTACTCCACTCCATTTCTCCGTCCACTGTGTCCACTATAGAGTAGACTTTATCTTTCCCCCCACCTCCTTTGCTTCACCTTCCTTCCACTCGACTTGCTGGATACGTACAACTTTTACGGCCCCTACTCGGCGGTACATCAACAATCTCTCTACCTTTACCAGTCCAACTCGCCGCATGCCATCTCGCAGATCGGAGTGCCACCACCTTGGCGTCGTTATCTTATTCATCCTCAGTCGTGGCACAATGTGGTACCCCTCGTCCACGTCCCGCAACAGTTGGGGATTCCTGCTGCACGTCGAGTACATGGTCTTGCCCAAAATATCTTGCCACTCTTGTACCTGTCTATGTCGCATTCTCGCCCTTTACGTTCTCAATCTTTGCCGTCTCTCTCTCTCTGTTCCTCCTTCTCCTTGTGCTCAATCCACGCTTTCGCTCTCTTTCCCTTCTCGCCTCCCTTCACTGGAACAAACTTCCCCGTCACATTAAGCAGTCACCTTCGAGTACTAGTTTTCCGCTCCTCATTCGTATCTCACCCATGGCCCCTTAATCCACCCCTCATAACCACCACAGTTCCTATTCCCTCTTCATATTCTCATTACATGGCTATCACTCATTCCCAATCATTTATTCCGTTAATCATTTACTGTCATCAATTTCGCTTTCACCGAATTCACGCATCATCACAGATTCTCCCCCATTGCTTCCTCTCTCATCTACTTTGTTAACCTCATCTCCACCATTACCTTCATAAGTCTCGTTCTTAATTATCTGTAAATCGCCTTGGCGAAGGCGCTATAAGATAGGATGCCATGGACCCATCTTCGTTTGTAAATCTGAGTTTCTTGATTTCTATTTTTTATTGACCTTTCCTGTGTCCATTTTATCGGCCTGTAGCGATACTCTACGGAAAAAAACGAGCAGGGCAATGGACTGGAATTTGCCGTCAGCCAAGTAACACAGTTAGGGCACAGGCGTTATTGGATAGTGGGTGTTCATATGAGATGAATTTATCCAGTGGTAGATCTCGAACCGGTGGTGGTAGTGGTGGCGATGAGTGAAGAGATGGATAAATAGGGGAGTTAATGACCCATCAATCCATTGACTGGCATGGATTGTTCATCCTTCAATACGTGCACCTAATCGGATAACAATCAATGTTTTGTCACGTCATATTTAGTGTGTTCATGCGCTCCTTCCCCACCTAGAGGCTGCTAAATGAATCGCAACACCCCTCCCCCCCTGATTAGCGACACCATGCTTCAAGCTGCGTCCCGTACTTGACACGAGCCCGGGGTTGTCGTAGTGCATCTCGATCAGGACCATCTTGGGGTCCCCTTGCGCTCCCAGCGAGTACCCGGCCTCGGGGGGGTAGTCAAACGTCTGTAGCACAGGCACACAAAGACAAAAATTCCCCCGTATAGCCGTGTTATCGATCACCTATGAAAGCCGGAAACGATACACGAGGGGATGGGTGGTCAGCACCACGTGGCTATGTTAACGCACCGCACCAGGTACTCATTTGAGGCTGAGTCAACCTAGGGGAGGGCCCAGCACCGCTTCAAACGTCTGTAGCACAGACACACACACACATCACTGGTATAACAACATCCCGCATAGCTTCACCACTACGTGTACTTAACTGATCCTGATTACGTCTTGACAGCAAACTCCAAATCTTAACTGAGCCTATATCTGGTGAGGTGTCCTAGGTGTTGCCAAACAATTGCAAAATGCCAAAAAGCATTATTTGTCTTCTGGGAGTCCCAGAACGACGGCAAAAGTCCACACGATTGCCAGGAGCATTGTTAGGTCGCTACCAGAAATGGGGAGACTTGTGTGGTCAGCATTGTGCTTCGTCAAGCCTCAGTCACGTCTGTCTCCTACGTGTGGATGCTGTGTTTAGGCAGATACTATTTATGTGGAAACACAAGCATGAGCTCGATAATGAGCACAATATTTCGATTTAAAGCTTTCGTGAAGACTAGGTCTTCACCTGAGGACGGCTGCTTGCGTTGTGGCCGAAACGTCGTGAGAATTATTTTATTATGTTTTATTTTTATTATTTTATTACTTCCCTTCTATGTGACTTTACCGAAAGAACCAAGAAGATGAGCACAAGAGTTAGGGCAAAGAAAATAACTGATACTCGTACGTAGCCAACCGTGATAATTAGCCGACCGTGATGATCGAGATGGAGGTGAATGAAAACAACATCATGGGACCTCCCTTGTCAGTCTCAAAATATAAGAATAAACTTTACCCTTTCTAGCAATAAAACAGGTGATAAGATGTTACAACAAACAGAAACCTTTTGCAAGGAATCATGTCTGCATTAACCACATATACTTGTGGCGAACATGCAAGCAAACAAAACACACGTTCTGATAGTATATGCATTGTCTTTGAAACGGATTGGTCCACACCAGAGACAGCTTTCTTTAGAGCCTAGTCTCAAACAGTGTTAGACCAGAGGACGCCAGAAGACGAACAGCATAAAGACAATGCACTATACTCTTAGGTTTTTTCGGTAAAGTCACGTAGGTAAAAAATATAATTAAAAGTTAATAAAAGTAATAATAGAAATAAAATTAAATAATAAATCACGACGTTTCGGAGGCAACACAAGTCTCCGTCATCAGGTGGGACCGTCACAGCTAAAATTACTGCATCAGTAATTGTGATGGTCCCACCTGATGACGGACACTTGTGTTGCCTCCGAAACGTCGTGATTTATTATTTTATTTTATTTCCATCATTATTTTTATTAACTTTTAATTTTATTTTTTACCTACGTGACTTTACCGAAAAAAACCTAAGAGCATGAATCCTTGCAGTCACGAAAGCTTCAAATCTAGAAACAATGCACTATCATTATTTTGAGGGCTCTGGATTAAAACAAACTAACAAATCGTTGGCACAAGTGCTATTAAGCTGTGTTAACACTGTCCACTGGCGTTCGAACTGACTAGTCCAGGCTGAGAAACCAGACTGACCCAGCCAGCAAACTGGCAATCGTCCCAATTAGGCTATGCAGCAAGAAATATTGCATGATGGTGATGATTTATGTTATTTGTTTGTCGAGTTTTACTTGCTTAGCGTATTGTATCTGTTTGTTTTATTCTAGTATGCTGTATTTTTTTGTTATGTGTTGTCTATCTTGTTGTATTCATTATCTAAGGGAGACACCTACACTAACAACACCGCCAACAGCAAGCAGCCCACGGAAGTTTCCCCAAGGCAGCATTATCTTATTCATAGGTTTTTTCGGTAAAGTCATTTACTTGATACAGCTGTCGTGGCTGTGACGGTTCCACCTGAAGACGGAAGCTTGTGTTGCCTCCGAAACGTCGTGATTTTTATTTTATTTTATTTTTTATTAATTTTAATGTTTTACCTACGTGACTTTACCGAAAAAACCTAAGAATATGAATCCTTGCAGTCACGAAAGCTTCAAATCCAGCATTTTCTTCTCTTCTTCACCAGCCAGCAAAGGCCAATCACTGGGACTGCCCGCATGGCGGTAGGATGGCACCACAGGCTTCACTCGCCTGAAAACAGAGCCTGCCCTCCGAGTTGCCTGCCCGCACAATCTGCGAACACTGCTAAGCAGGTGTGGCTGTGGTTACACCATCGCATACACACATCTCTGTATCTAAATTAGCTCAGGGCTACACTGAACCCCTCCTCTCTCCCTTGTGAAAATAAATGCCGCTCCAAAACCAGAATCCACTTTCCTTCTTAAAGCTTTCGTGACTGCAGGGATTCATCTTCTTGGTTCTTTCGGTAAAGTCACGTAGAAGGGAAGTAATAAAATAATACAAATAAAACATAAAATAATTATCACGACGTTTCGGCCACAACGCAAGCAGCCGTCCTCAGGTGACGACTTCTACGTGACTTTACCGAAAGAACCAAGAAGAACACTTTCCTTCTATTTCCATTTCCTTCTCTTCTCTCTGCCCTTTCCCACGCCTGCGAGTTGGCAACACTCTATTACATAAACATGGAAGAGATGGGGATTCGTTTACTATCTGCTGGATGCCTTCTGACAAGGCATGGTATGGCACCTGCTTAACGCCCACTACACAGAAGTGTCACAACATCTATTCGATCTACCGACCCTCGCCTCCACAGTGCTGGATTTACAGGCGGTATTTCACGCACTCAGACACAAGTACTTGGCACACATGCAACTGGCGATGCGAGCGTGCGGGGTTACCACGTACCCCGCCGCCAATGGCCCACGCGGCGAGCACGGAGCTGCAGGTGGAGAAGGAGTCGGGCATGTTGGGGTGGTAGCACTGGTGCGTGACTCCCACGTGGGACACGTTCACGTTGTCCAGGCACACGTACACGAGAATGTGGTGCACGAACGCCTCGTTGCCGGCCTGGACGATGGGCTGCACCTGCACGCGCAGTGGAGGGGGTGCACACGTGAAGAACGCATGGGTGGACGTGCAATACGCTGGACCAACTTTGACATTTGGTTTGGAACCATTGGGTCAACATTGGGCCAACGTTTGACGAACGTTGGGCCAACGTTAGTCCAATGTTGCATGTTAAAGGGGACGCAGCATGACGTCACTCCCTACGAGCCAATCACCTTCAATGCACCCCCATATCATCAAATCTTCCAAGCCAAGCAGGGTTTTGAGCCTACTAAGCGTCTGATTGGGTGTGCGACTGCTTGGGAACACCAGCTGTTCACCAGCTCGCATCCATTTCCAGCCTGCGTCACTCGGTTGTCATCGCTTAGACCGAGCTTCACGCATTCCTGTTCAGATAATGCTCTATGGGTCGTGTCCTTTGTTTATCCAGTAATGTCCCGCTGACTCTTTTTTTCCAGGAGGGTCCTGCATTTAGAGGGATTTTTTTTCAAGTCTATTCTTATATTGCTGCTCTAAGAGAGACATTTTGTCATGAAAGCACCCCCCCGCACCCCGCGACCTACTGACCACCCCCCCTTACCCACCACTATTTCAGTGGAAGTGTGTGTGGTTTTCCCCGCTGTGAACCTTGATGAGGTGATTTTTCTTGCTGAGCTTGGGCAGAGAGACGAGCTTGCACGCGTAGAATGTGGAGACGGCCGGGATCGTGTACTAGAAGCGGACACGGCGAGGGAGAAACAAAACCACAACAGCTGCTGTTCATACAATGCCTCGTCAAGCCCTCGTCTCTCCGTTTGCTTACATAATGTCATGTGAGTAGGTTAAACGTTGAGTTTTATAAGGGAACCACGGGGTGACCAACCCCTCCCCACCCAGCCCCACCCCTCCCACCCCCACCCTCCCCACCCAGCCCCTCCCCACCGTCCCCACCCAGCCCCTCCCCACCCTCCCCACCCAGCCCCTCCCCACCCTACCCTCCCCACCCAGCCCCACCCTCCCCACCCAGCCCCTCCCCACCCTCCCCTCCCCACCCAGCCCCTCCCTCCCCACCTAGCCCCTCCCCACCCTCCCCTCCCCACCCAGCCCCTCCCTCCCCACCCAGCCCCTCCCCACCCAGCCCCACCCCACCCTCCCCTCCCCACCCAGCCCCTCCCTGCATGACAGACGGACGGACACAATAATCCCCTGTGGGCTGGTGAAACCAGTGGGTTCCTACCAGTGTTGCCTCTATAGGATAACGTCTGTGACTCAGTTGGACTCACTACATATGTATCATTTTAGTTACACCGTGCATAGGGTTTAGAGGAAGACTGTCTCACGGTGACCGTATCAATAAAAAAAGATGTGAAGGTACAATACTCACGATTAGATTAGCATGCGTCTTGCTTTCATGTGCATGCCAGTTAGCAAGCAAGCCTGGTGGTGTTCAATAACAAACTACAGCAGTAGCGCTACTAGATTTCACGCTGTGTGTATTTTTCGGAAATATGTTTTCATTTGTAACAATGTTTTTTTTTGGCATTCATGGTTAATTGTTGGAATCTTTTTTTATATATAAAATGTTTTAAAACATTTCTGCTTGTTTATCTGTTGATGTTAGGTTCCCTTGTGGCCAACCGGGTCCTTATGCGTCCCATAATGCTGCTCCCTCCCCCCCCATAGTTGAGCCCCTAATCTCTAGCCCGAATAGTGAGGGAGGAGGGACATTGACAAACATCTCTTCTGCATTGAATGATACCAATCACTGACACTTATGGCCTCGACACCTATGTAGTAGGCTGCTGTGGGGGATATTTGCCCCTGCCTGATTTGGGGCTCACACACCTTGTCAAATGTCAGGTCAATGAAGCTGTGTTCTTGAGGCAGGGGCTGCTCGGTGGGAAATCCGTTGCTCAGAAGCTGGACGCTCTTGGAGCCCCGCGTGACCACACCGTGGTACAGGATCTGAGTCTCGCTCTTTGGGTCATCGGTGCTGTAGGCCCAGATCATGTGCACAGTGTCCTCCTGCCGGACAGAGGCACAGGTGGGGGGGGGGGGGTGTGATGGCGCACGCCGTTTCTCAAATAATAATCAATAATAATTGTAACTTGAGGCGCGTTGCACGGTATCCGCTTGCTCTCGTAGATAAAGAATGACTTGCGGGCGAGAGGTACCCACAGGTATGTGGAAGAAAACTGGAGAACCCGCGAAAAAGCCCACGCGTGCGAGGAGGGGTCCACTCTATCCCATGCCGATGGAGCAGGTGGGGTCCACATTGTGTGCTCCACCGCAGTTGTTCTTAATCTGGGGTGCATCCACCCGCTGGGGGTGCGAGATGTCCTTTCTGAGAACCAAAGGGGTGCAGGCTGCACTAGAGATTAAGAACCACTGCTCGTCTGCCTTCTGGCGAGCCAAGGGTGTTGGCACATCCTCGATGCTCACGGCAAGGGAATTTCGCAGCATTTGTGTGGTGATCCAACAACCCTCGCTGCCTTCACAACGCTGGGTTACAGGCAGCCACGCGCAGCAGCATAGCCGCTACCACGCCGTGTGTTCTCAATTACAAGTTGCTTGGTATGACAATAGAATGGATGCCAGTTATGTGCACACGTCAGCCCCATCAAAATTGAACTGCATTGCTCACACGGAGGACAAACATGTGCGCGACCCTTTACGATAACTACATTTGATTGGAAGTAAGCTGAACGTGGCGGATGCCACACATTAAGAGACAGCTTTAGTTAAGAAAATTACCCGAAGAAATAAATGTGTAAATCACAGCACCACTGGCTGTTAGGGAGAAAACCTTGGTTTGCTAAAAAGTACGTTATTTCTAAGAGTGCATGCGTATCTATGTGTACGTGTATCTATGTGTGCATCTGTGTACACGTCTGTGTGTACACATGCGTGTGTGTGTACACGTGCGTGTGTGTGTGCAACACGCACGGTGATGTCCCTGTCGTTGGCGTCGCACGTGCGCAGCGCGCGCACCACGCGCATGACCGTGTGGGTGCCGTTCTCGCTGAGCCGCACGAGTTTGTAGTCCTGGCTCGCGTCCCGCACCAGGCTCCGCTCCCCCTCGATGTGTCCGTCCTGACCGCACAGCAGCAGCCCAGGTGGGGGTGGGGGTAGGGTAGTAGGGACACACGGCGCATTGTTTGTCAGAAGACAAGACTACTCTCAAATCATTGAGATTACACCCCGATCTGGGAGAAAAACGCTCAATCGTCCTCGATGTGCAACTGATGCTTTTTGGTTTACGACTTCACATGTCTGTTAATGAAGACTGAAAGTTTGAGTGACGAGTCATGTATACATGGAATCGCGTGTGGAAGAATTTAAAGTCTTCCGATTAATGTGCAAATTATGATTGTTGCCGAGGATAATTGAGCATGAACGATACCGAACCACTTTGGTTTGAGAGGGATGTGCGTTAGTTTGATGTGTGGTCCGTGTGATGTGTATGTGATGTGTGTGATTTGCGTGAGTGTGATGGATGTGTGTGTACACGTGACATGGGAAGCGGTGGCCCAGCGGTTAACGCAATTCGCTATGAACACAACGACCTCAGTTAATTTCCCAACCACGGCTAGCATCAGTGGCGAGTGATATCAGAACCACTCATGGGCGTCCCTTCCCCTCCACTAACCCGCGGTGATCAACGCGGGGGAGGCATTCATCCAGCAGTGGATTATTATTGTCATACTCTCCTGCTGCGTTCAAACGAACAGGCCTGCTCAATGCAATGCCACATTTACACGGCCCTGTATTTTGTCGAATAGATGTTTTCGAAAACAGTTCAAGATAGGTGCATACATGTGGGAGGTGGTGAATGCAGGAGAAAAAGTATTGAAGCTGTTGTCATAATTATTGGAAACCTAGCGATATATATGTACATTTAACTAAATTATGAAAGTGGGTACAGCAACAACGATGTGGATTATCGGGAATGACAAATCACAAGGATCTTTTCTTCCGCCGTTACGGTCACCACTGTCGCCAGCACCATTGCCATGATCATCATCATCACCAAGACCATAGCCTGTCATCAACATCACCCTCATCGTGACTATCACCATTGTAAACGCGTGCATAAATATACCAAGATAGAGACCAATCGCTGAACAACTAAGACATGCGGCGTAACGGGTGGCACCGGTGACAGTCTTTGTGATGAACGTCACGATTAATGGTCATAACGGTGAAAGCGATGGTCGTCATCGTGAATGTGATTGTGTCCTAAAAATAACCGTGACCAGGATTCGAACCCTGCTAACTGGTCTTTCCTCGTGAGGACCGCGCCGCCTGCCACTCACCACGAGGTGGGTAGCGGCTGCGCTGTCCACCCACCCGACCACAACGTCAGAGCCGGCCATCATCCCCGTGGAGCTCAGCCCCAGGCCGACCCAGCCCAGGGTGCGAACCCGAGCCTCCAGGACGATCTGGTCGCTGTCGAACGCCCACGAGACGTGGAATTTGTCCGGAGATAATTCGGTGCTGAACGTGAGGTCGGCGTCAGGATCCAGGGCACAGGGCACCCCCACGGCCATCATCACCACCGCCATCACCACCGTCGTCATCCTCACTGGCAGGTCGTGGCGAGGCATAACTGCTTGTGACTGAATTTGTCTGATTATCGATGAAAAAATGACTGTGATGATTGTAAAAAAGCAATACTTGACGACACCTAAATGTTTTGTGTTTTTATGTTTACAGATATTGTTTCTTCGATTAAATTATACTTAGTAAGTATGCCTTAAAATAAGCGGAAATTCTCGGCTGCTGATGTTGATCTTGCTTGGACGAACGTGCACCTGCGCTGCCTCTGTGTGTGGAATCTACCTTATATAATGCCCATTCTTGGTACGGTGTTGCAATTGTAGACATCATAGTCAAGGCGGGGTTTAAAAAAAATTAACCAAGGTCAATGTAATCGCACATGTTCCCTTATCTATCCCGCGATAATGCTGACACGAAGTCCAAGAGTTATCTTCGTGTCATATTAACGAACTGTCTCCCTGACAGACCTGGTCTTCACCTGAGGACGGCTGCTTGCGTTGTGGCCGAAACGTCGTGAGAATTATTTTATTATGTTTTATTTTGTTATTTTATTATTTCCATTCTACGTGACTTTACCGAAAGAACCAAGAAGATGAATCCCTGCAGTCACGAAAGCTTTAAATCGAAATGATTGTGAGTATTGTAGGACCGTAGGGATGGTGACGGAGTAGAGTGGCAGTGGATAGACCATGGCTAAGCATTATGATTAAGGCGAGAGTGGCACACAAGGGGGTGTTGATGGGCATGATGGGCATGGCCATGAACATACTGATAAACACCGAGGCACACAAACATAGAGTTCTAGCTATCTTTTTTCTACCAGGTGAGAACTCAAGAGACAAGGATATGTCTCATTTACACGAGCGACCTAGGTCACAAAAAGTGACATAAGCAAGATCGTAACAACTGTCGTCCGTCATATTACAGAAGAAATTGCAAACGGTGCACAAACATATCATCAGTATTAAGTAAAATACACATTCTGTAGCGAAAGTTGGCTCAGACGAATTACTTAAAACATTAATGGTCATACTCTTTGTTCTTTCGGTAAAGTCACGTAGAAGATAAATAATAAAGTAATAAAAATAAAACTATAAAATTCTCACGGTTTTTTTATTTTCTTGCCGTGGTTTTCACACCTGATGACGATTGCTTGTGTTGCAATCGAAACGTCGTGATCATTTTATTGTTTTATTTTTATTATTTTATTTTTCCCTTCTACGTGACTTTACCGAAAGAACCAAGAGTATGGATCCCTAAGAATATAGATATATGCTCAGTACAACTACAAGTGGAGTTATCGCACCGAATCGACATCTCACCATCACATTGTGATTCAACATGGAGCAGTAACCAGGGACATTGTTTTAAGTGATGGGATTCGACTGGTTAGGACCGTTAACACAGAACGAATGAGATGCATGTGATTTTTTTTTCCAAAGTACAATGCACTCCCCATGTAGCCTTATATCAGTGTTCTTCAGTAATTTCCAGAAAGGGGCCACTTTCGCCGATAAGACATCACCAGTGTGAGGGCCGCCACACATTTGAAACCATTGGCGGTTTGACAGCATGATGGGGGGGGGGGGTGTTTTAACACGTTGTGTATTGTCGGGGGCCGCACAAAAATGCCACCAGGGACCGCCAGTGACCAGCGGGCCTTGCAATGAAGAACACTGCAGCCTTGCATGATGCAGGTTGCAAGTGTAATAAAAATTATGAAAACAATATTTGATCGCCCTTTGTCAATCCACTGCTGGATCAAGGCCGCCCTACACAACGTTGGTCGCTCGGAATGCTGGAACACACTTCATAGCGCTCGTCAGTGTGGGTTGGTTAAGGGGTGTGGGTAGCCTCGGATTGGGTCTGATGTAACTCTCTACCGAATGTTGGCCAGAAATCAATTTTTTTAAATGTCTAGGTTTATAACGTCGCGCATAAGTAACCCAGACGCCATCACTCTCCCTAAAGTGTAATCATTCGGCATTTTTTAGGGTGGTAACCGGATGAAAGTGAAAAGTGTGGCTCGGAATGACGATACGAAAAGGCACGTGGACCCGCGCACGATGCACTTCAACTTAACGTTTCACAATCGAGGGCTCTAAAATACGGCACGATCGGTGCCGTTAATCGGAGTGCAGGTGACGTTAAAACACGGACCGTGTGTCACGCGCTCTGCCACCTCATCCATCACGAGTTGTTGACGTTACACCCCTTATCTGAGTCCAGGTTCACAACGTTTATTTTTCCGCACTGCCCATGATCGTTCTCCCTCCGCTGGATTGCACAAGGCATCATCAGCAAATTTACTTTTAAAAAAGGAACGAAAGCGCATTCGTCAATAAAATAATCTGCTTAAACAAAGGTATGCACAGCAAATCATTTGTTTAAATAAGGTGTATAACCCTGGTAGCAGGGTGACTCAAAGGTCGCTGACTTGTCACTCCTAAGATCCTGGTGTTCGATTACACCATCAATAATTGAGTCGAATAATCTACAACGGAACTTGCCTAAATTCCATCTCTGAGGATAAAACATCGACAAATAACTGTTTGTCCCCAGATGAACTTAGTCACTCAAAGGAGTCTTCAGGTGTTGTGTAATCGCCATCGGGGTTGGCCTTTGAATTGGGAGGGGCGGGGCTCCCCCCCTCCTCCCCGTGCCCCCTGCCCAGAGGTCGCAACCGGGTACCCGATACCCGTACCCTACCCGATACCCGGCTACCCGTACCCGGCCGGGTACGTGTACGGGTGCCAGTTTGCGACCCTGGTGCAGCCGGATACGGGTACGGGTAGACCGTGAGTCACTGGTGAGTAACTGTTTGTCACTCATTTCCCAACGTCTTGTCTCTTCTCACAATTCAACTTCCTAGAATCAACCCACCCGCGCCTGCAACATGGCTTCATCCCAGAGGTCGCAATCAGGTACCCGATACCCGTACCTTACCCGTACCCGGCCGGGTAGGGTACGGGTACGACCGGGTACGGGTACCCGTTTGCGACCCTGGTGCGGCCGGGTACGTGTACGGGTAAGGAATCAAAACCCGTTTGCGACCTCTGCCCCTGCCCCGCGAAGTTTGCGGACGGGTGGCACGCGTGGGTCCTCTGACGCCGCCAATCAAAACCTGGTTAAGATCATTCTAAAACGCTTTGGTTCTTTCGGTAAAGTCACGTAGAAAGACAATAAATTAAATAATAGAACACGACGTTTCGATTGCAACACAAGCAACCGTCATCATGTACACACAGACAGACACACAAGCAGAGAGACAACACAGAGACATGACGATTGCATTCTATTATTTAATTTATTTTATTTCTACGTGACTTTCCCGAAAGAGCCAAAGAGTAATGCCTGCAGTCACGAAAGCTTCAAGTCAAGTTAAAATTCTAAAACATTGTTTTCCCACAGCGTGACAAGTTGCCCCTAGGTTTCTCTAGAACATGTGAGGAACAACAGTGTGAGGAGTAGGGAAAAGCAGGACGGTGGAGTTTGCTGTTTTCTTGGAATCTCAAGTCTCATTTACATCGGGAGGCCTACCGGCCACGTCGTCAGCCACGTGGAATCGAAAATGCAAATATTTGTGACCTATGCATTGTTCTTAAATTTTGTAAGCCATTCGATTTTTGGGCCCCAGGTCTTAGCAAAGGGTCCAATGTGTTATGGACATTTGCCACATCAAACAGGAGGATTTCGCCACAATTCTGGCTGCCACCTGATGCTAGCTTTAATTACTGGCGAAACGTCGTACTCGAATTGTAAATGTTGTGGGTTTACATACCAACAGACCGGTGTGCTGCACTAATAACGAATTGGCATGTTTTGTTTACGTGACAAACCTTGCTAATTGGCTGTGTTGGGTGGTGGCGGTGGAAAGTATAATGAAATATAACTTAAATTAATATTACTCGAATGTTAATCGAATGATAGCGAACCAGTAGGGTTAATTGTCTGTTGATTGAGTTATTGGCGGTGATGAAGATGTTCACAAGACCGATATTCAAGTTGATTTAGTATAATAAATGGGTCTAGAATATGAACAATGGTGCTCAATACCATCATCAGAGGGACTGAGTTGAGGTGTTGTGTTACATGGAGTGTGATAGCGGTGTGTCTGGTAATCATTGCAGATATGAAATGTTAACTTTTTTTTTATTGTGTTTGGTTTTTGTTGCGCGGGTAATTCATGCCAGGTATTTTATTGTATTCACGGTTGTTTATAACTTGCTTATTTTTTTACAATCTAACTCGAATCAATAGATATGACGGAGTTGGAAGATAATTCGAATGTTTTAGTGATGAAAATAGAAGTTGTTTTTGTGATAGTTGATAACATTTGGTGTTATTGTGTTGCATTGTGCTGTTCATTTGGGAATGCACAAAATGGGCAGCTTGCAGCCTGAATTTAACATTGAGTTTATGGGGTGAACAGAAAAAGTGATTCGGATACAAGAAAGAATACTTTTTATATATTTATTGTCAGTAAAATATGATTTCCCTAATTTACATATGATACATATAATTGTACGTCGATAATTGCTGTATTATTAATGATACTTATACAAGTACGCATTGCTTCGTTTAAAATATTTGTTGTGAATTGTATGTTAAATGTTCTTAAATATAAGAGGCTGTTATCATAATTAAGATTTGGGATGGGTTCCGTGGTGAGGGACTGAGCCGAGGTGTTGGGTGACATTGAGGGCGATGAGGACGTGTCTGGCCATGCTCCTTGGAATGACACTTTGAAATAAATCGTTGCAGTTTCACAAACCTCTAGTGCTCATTTGTTGTGGAGTCGCCCACTTCTCAGGAGGACTCGTCATCTCCAAACGTATTATTTTACACGCTTTCATTTAACTCAGTTCGTCTGTTGTCGTATCCTTAAAAAATCTTGTAATTCAATTTATACCCACTTCCAAACAGGGGCGGTTTCTTCATTAAGGGCGATTGGGCGACGCACCACCAATCTCAGCCGTTACTGTGCCTCTGGATATAGTCCAATCAGCGTCATGTCACGTTCTGTGGAGTACCGCCTCTTTATGGGCGATTTCACTCTGGCTGAGAATCGCCCAGTGTTCCCATAGACTTACATTCAAAGATGTTTTTTTTCGAACGGCGGGCGCTGCAATGCATTCTCTATGGCTTCCGGGAGGGCTCGCACTAACGTGCTTACGTCATCATACGTAAGCACGTTTCGGTCAACAATATCATTTGTCGCCATCTAGTGGAATCTTTAATACAAGAAACTGAGTGGATTGTAATAATAGTGAGATAGAAAC